TTTTTGGTTTGGGCGAACACCAAGTGTTTTTAATGTTTTAAACATGTTTGAAAAACATTTTTATGATGTGTGAAATGCAATGAAAAGAATTTTAGCCTAAAGAGCCAAGGTGTAAAGGTTGGGTCGGTCTTGATCACAATTATGACCGACTCAACAACACTAAGACAACGGTCTTCGTTCTTGGTCTTCTTTTGGGTCTTGTTCTCTTGCTTTCTTCTTATATTTATTTCTCGCCTTGTATATTCAATAACTTGTCTCGTTCACGGCGGTTTGGCATTATCAAAACCTGTCATAAAAACGAACACGGCTTTAGTACGAAAACACGATAAACCCGTGTTTCAACCATTTCCCCCTTTTTGATAATGGCAAACAAGACGGGGTTATGCATAGGAGGATTGATTTGAGACTTAAAAAATGTTCCCCCTTAATAAATGCAATTTTCTTTTCAACAAAGTTTATGTGTTGAATAAGAGTTAGTTTTAGAAAAAGTTCCCCCTCAATCTATGCATAACCTTTATATCTTCCCCCTTTTAACATTAACAAAAAGAATTAAAAGTAAACTTTTACTCATTAAAAGGGAAATGCAGAATACAACGGATAAAAATACAATCATATTTAATAAGGAGAAAATAAGGAAGATGTCGTGGCATCGGTGTTGGCCTTCTTCTTTGAAGCCTAGGTTTTGGTCCTTGACTTTCCTCTGACCATTGTTGAAGCGTTTAGAAAGTATGCAAGAGGAATGTGAATTGTGTGTTAAAAATGACCAAGGATGGTAAATATTTATAAAATGAGAATTTGGGCCCTTGGTGTTAAAAAGTATGGCTGATGGTCATTGAATGAGGTGCCCAACAGCTGTGATTTTTGAACTGCAACAGGCTTCCCAGCGATGGTAAGGTTCTCCCATCCATGGGAAGACAGCTGCTGGAAATTTTTTTTTTTTTTTAAAAGTGTCAAACACCCAGCGATGGGATAAACCACCCATCGCTGGTTCCCCCTGAGTTTCTCACTTTGATACGTACCTGCAAAAAAACAACACTTTGGTACCCAAAGTATGTCTATGGGTCCTTGGGGGTTAGTTAACCTTTATTGCCCACACACACACCCAAAATTCATTTCCTTACACACACACGCGCACACACACACACATACACGATTAGATGATCGTTTAGGAATTACCTTGGCCAACCCATGATCTCGTGGTTGGCGGGTTCCAGTCTACCTGAACGGAGTGCCGATATCTCGGTATGATTTGTGTTGGTTCCGGTAACGGAATGTGGACTTTCTTCTTTTCGTCAAAGTAGAAGAAATAATACGGTTTCTTTTGTGCACTTTCCTGTGGAGATTGCCTATGATACGAATATCCTTTTCTAAAGGATTTCTTTTCGTTAGCACCAAAAATGTTGTGTGTTTCATTATAGGTGGAGTGCCTATGTTTGGTAAAACACACTAGAGCTATATGTCCTACCCTATTGCAATAATGGCATACTACGTTTGGGTTGAACATATGCCTAGGTTGATAATAGCTAGGGGGTCTAACCATATTCATCCTATTTTGAGAAAAGGATGGTTTATGCACGTTTTCAAAAGAACCATTTCTAGGTGTCCTCATATTATTTCTCCTATTTTGAGAAAAATTATTATTATGCACAAAATTATTTTTCTTAGGTTGTCTACCATGAACATTTTCATTCCTAGGTTTTAGTCTAGGTTGTC